CCTGCGAGGTTTCAGTCTCAATTATATATAAAAAACTTAGCGCATTCCGATGACGTTGATATTTTATGTCGTGACAAGAAAAGGGTTACCGAAGCTGTTGTGTTGACCAAAGAATGATGTGAAATAACAGTTGCAGCGGTAAACTGGAAAAATATGTTGGCTTCTGGTACGAGTTGTTGCGACTATGACTGCAGAGTATGAAGGCGTTAAATGGAATAAAACAACTTGTAAACATTTTGGCGTGCCATTTCTAAAATTACGCAACAAAGCGACATACTGGTCGGCGGTTATTAACGAACTGAAAACGAGTGTATAATGTTTGCCCGAATGAAAGTTGTGAATGTTTGCGAGAGCAACTGTTTGCAACCCTTCTCTTAATACCAAAATTATCTACGCATTGCAGGTCCTGCATCGTGTTCGTGTGATTGTTCAAAAGATCCATAGGGTTTGTGATTTGCTTATTGCGAAGTTTGGACAGGAACCAATAGGACGTGAAAATCTTTTTTGACTTATACCTGTAAGAGGCTTAGGCCTGCCACATTCGTTTATCCTTCAAGTTACATCGCGTTTTTTTTCTTCTTCTCTTTGCGAGACGAGGAGCAACCATTCGCACATACAGTGCTACAAATCAATCTATCTGGCCTTTTGTCTTTATTTTTGGTGTCTCCTGAAATAGAGGATACTATGATAGCTTTTGAATTCCTTAACAAAAATTTGATTGCTATAACTTTTTGTTTGCCTGATTTTCTCGACAGTATCCAGTTGCTGTTTCATGAAAAGAGCTTACTCGACCTCTCTCGGATAATCTTTTCCGAACTCCTCCGTTTCGCTCACTGTTCAATAATGAGCCAGGTAAAATGTGTTATATAGGGTTAAAGCGATATGCACTCCACCCACTACAGAATTTTTCCTATATAAACTGCATACTGGAACATTCCCTCTTAAGGTATGGCTCCAGGGGATGGGAATATTTGCTTCTTGGATTATAAACTGTTTGCTTTGTGAATAGACAGATACAATTGAACACGCTTTAATTAATTTCTGGGATGCATTTTTTCTTCGAGACATCCCACAACAAACTATAAAAAAAAACCGGCCAATCACACTATATCCGGTTTAGAACTGCGAAAAAGCATGGGGGAATCCCATATGACGTTTTCATTCTTCTCGGTCCTTTCAGCATTTAGAGGCCTCGAATGGCACTCGGACATGCTAAAAAATGTGTCCCAGAAAGTACGCATTTATTTTATTGAAATCATTACCCAAATAAAGTGAATTTATGCCCTTCTGGAGACACCTCAAAAGTGGGCTTTTTTCATTGAGGACCTACCTGACATGAAACAACTATAACACTTCAAAAATTATATCTGAGATTCAGGAAAAGTGGTACTGATGCGCAGGTGGTTGCTGTTTGCCTGTAATAGAGTGACTCTGGTATATGTTACACCACTTACATGTCGCTGGACTCTTGGAACGCCTGTGAATGCCCCTTCAGAACTCTTGCTGCTTGAATTTCACACTTTTTGTGCTGTGTAAGATATATACTACGGAACTTGATATGTAGGAAGTGTTTAAGATATCTTGAATGTAAAATGGCAATAAATTGTAACCGATTTCCTGTAGAAACCAATATTGGTGGTTTTCTATGAATTGCGAGAGCATTCGCCATGAGACTCAGCTCGCTGTGAATACGATAACGCAAAATATGCGTAAACACTAGAAATAACAAGTGGTTTACGACGCAAACATTGTCGTCAGCGAGATCGCAGCCCTCCACTTCGAAATTGACTGATTGATCTCTGTGTGATCGTTTTGATGCTCAAGTGGTTTCCCCACCATCATTACAGCTTCGTGTGTGTGTCTTGTGCTGTCTTTGTGTAATCGTTCAATGTTCAAGTTGTTTCAGCACCATCATTGACCATTTACCAACTAGTTCAACACAAACCGATCATTGCATCGTAGCTTCGGCGCAAATGTGAATGTCTGCGCACTGCCCCTCTATGTATGTGCGGCTCAGGTTTATCTGTGTGCTAGGACGATGTCGAGAACGACGTCCGAGAAAGCGGCGTCAAAGACGACGTCTAGGATTGCCTCTTGGACGTACTTCAGGGCGATTTCAAGGACGACCTCTAGAACGAGATCTAAGGCGACGCCTAGAGCGACCTGAAGGACGACCTGTAAGGCAGCCTCAATAACGACATCTGGGACGACCTCTTGGACGACGTCGTGCTTAGTTTGACGTCCTGCGTGTGTTCAGCGAGTACGCGCGCCACGCATAGGCACGGCGCATTCGAGGCCAGATCCCGCATCGCGAAAACCGGATAAAGTAAGGAAAAAATTCTGTCGCATTAAAAAAAATGGTGACCGGGTTGCTTAGCGCATCTCAGCTCGGAGCACGCGTAGCGAAAGTTCGCTCTGTAGAACCGATGGATCCTGGGTCAATCCTTGCTCCTGCCCGTTTGGATTTCGAGGAGCATCGTCATGTAGCACTATAGTGCTATACGACCCTGTAAAGGGATGGTGAATCGATATTTAAATTTCAGAAAACAATGCAGGAGGCGTAGGCGGGACGCTAGAATCCGTACAATACCACCCATAAGGCAATATTTCGAATGGACGGCCGTATTTTTGGAAAAAGAGGTACCGATTGAACGAGGCCGACGAGGCACGTGACGTCAACATATCCCGTTTCTTCTTCTCTTCGCTTCGCCACCTCTAGGCGGCGAGGCGTGGAAGACGCTAGGCCGTTTCCTCTCCTTCTCGAGTCTTCTTGGAGAAAGAAAACGTCAACATACCTGTCAAATGCGCCTCCTTTTTTTCAGAAAAATACGGTCATCTGTTAGATATATCGCTGTATGAGTGATGTTTTGGTGTTTGTAGCGTCCCATTGAACGCTTCTTCAGCCGTGTTAAGTGGAATCCAGATTTCGGTTCAACATCCCTTTAACGTGCATCAAGCAGTATACTGCTTGGTGCACGTTATAAGCCCCAGGCTAACAGTTGTACTGCACAGTCTAAATTTTTAATCTACAGCTGAACCACGAGACGCCTTTTAAGGCCGACTAACTTCAGGCTGTATAAACATATATACAAAACAATTATTAGTATTACTATTTAAGTTAAACTTTGCATAATGTGGGCAAAAAGTGAGTTTCATCCACAACAAAGCGTGCCGTTTTACCAACACGGGTATGGCAAACTTAAATTTTTATTTGCGGTCAGATGACAAAAATTAAGAATAATATGTCAGTAGCTTCTTATAAACCACTTATGTACCTTGCAACTAATAAAACATGACGCCAATAAAAAAAGCGTTTTTAAAAAAGTCGATAAAATTTGCTAGATTTTAAAACACTCGTTTATTCAAATGTGCTGACAAATTTTATTTTGTGCGTATAATGTTGACTCAAATTGTTAAAATATAAAATGATTTTATTAATAAATGCTTATTGAAATCTATTCTGAGAGTGCCACAAAACAGCTTTAGTGCAGCATTTTGGGAGCACTGTCAGTTTTCGCCTCGACCGCCTTCAATAGTCAATAACCTAAAAATACCAAAGCCGCCGACGCTTTAGCTGTTTTTTTATTTCAAGAATTATCCTAATACATATTTTCTGGACAACAATTAAAAATTCCACCCAAAGACCGTTCCTGTATTGAGAATAATAGGTGGACTCGAGGCTGCTAGCAGAAGGGTGAAGGCCCTAAGGGAGTGCGCCCTTTAACTCTAGCACTGCCACGTTTTTACTCACACCGTGTTCTGCCTTGCAAAGGCTTTTAGGTTTACGAAATTTAACGCACCGTGCACGTGATACGTTCGAGACAACCGCTTCGCTTTTGGCCGCTGTGGCCGTAGTGGTAATCAAAGCGCTGACTCTTTCGATTCTGACTTCAAACGCTCTTCGGAAATTAAATTATGAGTATGAGAGCTTATCCTAATGTACAGAAGATCTGGTAAGTGTCTGAGCGGATACGTTTGATCAGCGGATACTTTAAAAAAGTTTTTAAAAAATCCAAATGGAAGAAAGACAATCACCTGTCACCCATAATATTTTAATTCTATGCTATTCAATCTTAACAGCTTGTAAGTACTGAATACGCTCCTGTTAGATTTTTTTTTTAAACGCCTGTACCTTTAACTTTTTTTGCACTCTCCCTCAGAAAAAGACAACAACCTGAATCACTGGCACACGTCTTAAAAAAAAGAAAAAGAATAACAAATATGGACAGAGAATTTTGCAGAATAAAATTAACTATTGAGTAAATAATCACTGGAATAAGGAAACACGTTCTGCCCTCCAACAAAACGACGCATTTTTTCTGACTGCTGACACAGGATGTGTCATGCACTAGCATTTGCTATTCCCGCACGTCTTCCGACTTCCGTCAGCCCGGAGCTCTCAATTTGTTTCCACGCAGCTCCGCTTTCGCGCCAATACTTCTGAGTTGAATGTAACAATTCAAGTTTTCCATGTAAAGGTTTGCGGGCACACGCCTTTTCGCGAGATTTAGGGAGGATGTTTAATTGGTGAATAATTAAATACAAATTCGCGGTGTTCCTTACAAATTTAACATTCGAGGTGCAACGGACGGAAGCACATAATATCTCACGGTTCGATAGCCCCAGATGTGCTACGGCAGTGAGCTGTAAGCTCAGTTTCCTTCGTTATAAGAAAAGTCAATTACAGCAAAGTACAAAAAACCGCAGAAAGCAACAATTCAAAGTTCTAATATTTTGAATGCAATATGCGCATGGACAATGAAAAAATGACACCTTGTGTTCGCTGTCCCTGTGCACATCGGCTTTTTTGATCTGATGATATTCTCAGTTTCGTCATTTGCTTGGATCGTTCTATTGTTTACTGTGATTGACTATTTTTATGTTATGAACTAACTTTTTAAGGGTGTCGCAATCTTTGCACATTTTGTCATTTATGCCTAGTAGTTACACCGTTGAGAACAATTGGAAATTAGGGTAAAATAGAAATATATGTTTATTACCTCTTCGTATTCAAGGCACCGATGGGTTTCGGAAACCTTGAAAACTTCGTATTTACACTCGATCAGTTCTGTTGTCGAAAGACAGTCCTGTGGATGATTGTAACTACTGCTTGTGATTAGGCCTATAATAACACACCCTGGAAATATATATATTTCTTGATTGTTTCGTCATGTAGATTATGTCATTGCTCTGGAGTACCAATTTTAGGTTCCATAAAGTGTTGCTAAATGCCATCGATTTCAAACATGCACAATTTTCAATACAACTATACCCGTTTTCACCTCAAGAGATGAGTAAAGAACGTTTGGCCAATCGGGAACCACTTCTAATGTTCCCCCTTTATCTGGATAACTAAGATATATGTAGGTGAATTTCTGATTCGATATATATTATAATATTATCAAGGCGAACATATTGAAAACGCCGAAAGCATCGTTCATTTTTTTTTTCCGAGAATCAAATCTCGAAAGATTTACAGTGCGCAACGTATGAACGATGCGCACAACTTGTTTTCTTACTTGACGTGAAAACGAATATACATTCATGTGTTAATGCGAGTCTTTTAAAAATCTTTCACGCTATACCTAAAGGTTCGATGAACATAATATTTAGGAAGTTACAAATCAGTGGTAAATAGGTACACAATCAGTTTTGATTTACCAATCCTCTGCATCTGAGAATCACGCTTTCTTTTCTCAGAGTTTACAAAGTCCAGAAATGTAGCTTTTGCGAAATTAAATGCAACTGATTACTCAACGGCCCGCCTTGTTTCATATTATTAATTCAAATTGCTAGGCTGAACAAATATGTTGTAACTTAAAAATACTATAAACCACATAAATTCTAAAAGATGGTGCACTAAAATATCCGGCTCTCAATATGTCCCAAAACTACATATTTATTTTCGTTTTTATGGGCTACTCTTTACAAAATACATTGCTACACGTCCTCTGTTTTGAAATATCTCAGTGAAAGTGTTTTTTGAGATGTTTGGACGTGTTTTTATTACACAAATTGACGCTTAATTGTAACTTTGTGTTATAGGAGCGCGCATAGATTGAATATAATATCAAAGAAAAAAATCCGACTGGCTTAGATATGCAGCAAAGAATAAACCGAACCACAACGTTCAGGCGTTTTTACTGGTGTGAGCATTGTACGTTACGTTTGTACATTACGTTTTACACTATACACTGTTAGTAAAAATCTACACCTCTAGACGCTCAGACCGTTGTCCCAGGGTGAACACCCAAATGACGTTCGTTTTACTCTTAAGCCTCAGTGTATTTTGTTTACACGCGAGGTCTTGTGTAACATGAACATCTTTAAACGTGTACTGGTTTCCGCGATCACACGTCTAGAGAGAGGGGGGGGGGGGTGCGATGGCTGCATACATTTAAAATGGCGGCCGCTTGACATGACTAAGAGCTGGGCCCAGCGCTTTACATGGATTTTCGCTGGCGTGGAAGTGTAGTTTCCACGTGTAATTTCGGAGGCTTCCATAGCGCGCTAAACCACCACAGGCATTCGTCCCCAAGCGCTGACACCCTTACGGCAATTACGCTAGAGTTGGAGCGACTGCATCCAGCCGTCGTCTTTCCCCGTCGATCAGGTTCCATTCGTGTAGTGGCTCAGTTGACCTCCGAGGTCCCATGCGAGCTGCATGTTCACCGAGACCGAATAATGTTCAAGGAGGAATCTTTCTGACGACTACAGGTATGAAAACTTATTTGAACACAGCCTCTCTTCGACGTGAGCGACGACCAATAGCTCCAACACCGACCCGGCCGGCGTTTCTGACGTCCTGCCTACTTTTTTCACGCGAGCAGCGTTGTACACTACGTGCGACGTCGCAAGGTTTTGGCGTATCCACTCATATCTCGTGTGTGCGCAGACTTCACAGCTTTCCGCGTGGAAACGGCCACTTAAAGAGCCAGCGAAAGAACTGAGCGGCTGCTACGTTTGCAGCAGCATTTTAATACGTGGTTACTTTCCTTCTAGATGGTCATAGTAGCTATAGTTCTATACACAGTAAGTAGACGTATAAAGAAAACCAAAATGAAATTGGGCGGCTGCTTGTGCCACCGAGTGAGCATGCTGAAAACTACAACAAATAAAGGGAGATTGAAACTTTCGGAAACACCCCGCATGAGCAGATAGCAGCATACACACACCTGCACAACACAGCTGATATATAACAACATATTAATATGCAAATACAAACAACGTACTGAGGCACAGACAACCAAACACACCTACACAACAGCATGAGTGAACCGCTGGTTATATATATCAGACCTTTCGATTTACACTCTAAAAAACGTCTGTGTTTCTACTTTTACGCACAACACTAGGAGAACCAATCAGCGCAATTTACGGAGACAGCTCAGCGAATGACGATGCCGAAACATCTGTTTAGACCAAAAAACGCAGACGTAGTTGTGACATTACGCAATGCAAGCGTGACGTTTTGCATTGCTTAATGTCACAACTCAGACTGCGTTTTTTGGTCTAAACAAATGTTTCGGCATCGTCATTCGCTGAGCTGTCTCCGTAAGTTGCGATGATTGGTTCTCCGAGTGTTGTGCACGAAAGTAGACGCACAGACGTTTTTTAGAGTGTACACAAAGGGCCAGTGACTCCCATCGTAATTTCGATGAATGGAACAATACAACTCGATCATTACTTATATAATACATTGATACATCATTGATTCTGACAGATAAATATTTCCCTTACTCTAATTTATTGCAAAGAGACACCATATATATAGCTAAAGTGCAGGACAATTCAATTTCGTACTCTGAAGTTCGAGTGCTGAAGATTGTATCGTAGGTACTGCGCTATACAAGATAGCAACGTGACGAAGCGATGAAGTGCTCGCGCTTCCAACGCGAGCGCCCGGGACATCGTTCGGAGCTTTTGGGCTGAATGGACACACGCTGGACACTGTGGGACATAACATCGAACTGATAATGATGTCGCAATAATAAGCATCGATACATGGTGTCAGAAGTGGAATTAAAAGTTAGTCCTGCTTGCATGGCGGCTTCGAGCACACCTTTTAGTCGTTGGTCGATCTGAGTCCTGGACGTTCCCCACACCAAAATATCATCAACGTACACGTGAACACCGGGCAGAGAGTCAAAAATCTCGTTCAAAGTCTTTTGAAATACCTCTGATGCGGACGAGATTCAAAAAGGCAGTATAAGTAGGCAGTGACAATGGACCCCAGTTCTCAAGTCGAGAATTCACCTTATTTGCTCGCAAGTATGACTTCAGACACATAACGTCAAGCCCGGAGTTCCCTCGGTCAAACGGTTTATCAGAGAGAGGCGTGCAGGTTGTGAAGCGGATCGTTAAGAAGGCAAAAGAAAGCCGAGAAGATTTTTGGCTGGGTTTGCTGAGTTATAGATCAACCCCACTAGAAGACGGACGTTCGCCAGGGGAGCTGCTGCAAGGACGAAGGTTGAGGTCAAGTCTTCCGGACTTCGGTGACCAGCCAGGTTTGAAGGTGCAGAAGCACGTCCAGAAAGAGAATTCCAGAGGTCCACTTCCGCAATTGAAAGAGGGCCAGGTCGTCAGAGTCAAAAAGAGGTGGTGGTCTAAGAAGGCAAAAGTCGTCGCCGAGACAAGCCCGAGGTCGTACCAAGTTTTAACCGAGGACGGCAGGGTTATTGGGAGGAACCGGCAACATCTGCTACCGACAAGCGAGCCTTTCAGACCGAACACACCGCAAGATGACACCTCGGACGAGGAAACTCATACAGACTTACCGTCATTGGCATCACCGGGCCATGCTTTAGTGCCTTTAAGCAGGCGTTCACAATCTCCTCCACGAAAATCCCAGCGGCAAACAAGACCTCCTCTATGACTACACTATGACTGTAACTTTAATCAAGTGCCTTAATGTGTTCTCTCTTTTTTATTTGTTTTTTAACTAACGTGATCGCAAAAACATTTTTATAAAAAAAAGAAAAAAGAACAGGGGGATGTATCGTATTGCGCTATACAAGATAGCCACGTGACGAAGCGATGAAGTGCTCGCACTACCAACGCTGGACACTGTGGGACATAAACATTGATACAGGTTTGAATGTTCTAGCGAAGAGGGTGGTTGCTCATACCAATCTAGACCGTTTACACTCCGTTGTATGACGCTGTCGAGGCTGCTGGCTGCAGCCCCGTCTTGGTTTACCCAAGTAGCACAGATGTGGTCGATCATTGGCAAATGGCTGGCCATGGTCCTCTGGTCAGCGGCCAGACAGTGGCCAGCTATTTGCCGATGACTGGTATTTCTCTTGCCATTGGCCAATGGCCACTCGCCATCAGCCATTGTCTAAGTATTGGCCGATGAATGGCCACTCTTTCGCCAATGGTAAAAAGGACATCGCCAGCCCTTTGCCAATGCTTGGCCACAATCTGTGCTGCTTGGGTCACGTTTGATTCAAGGGGTGTCCAAACAGGATACTACAAAACTCACGACTATGACAAATCGTGCGGCGCTCCGCTTTCGGTCGTTTTTCATTGCCGGGGGGAAACTCCCCCCTCCATCCCCCCCGTCCAATCTGCTGGGGAGAAACTTCCCCCAGTCAAATCTCTTCCTCGGAGGTTCGACGGGGGGAAGTTTCCCCCCCGCAGGATTGACGGGAGGAAGTTTACCCCTGGCAAAGAAAAACGACCAGAAGCGGAGCGCCGAACGATTTGCCAGAGTCGTGCGTTTTGTAGTATCTTGTTTCGACACCCCTTTACACGCACACTCGTGAGGTTAAAGGAGCTGTGCAACAATTTTAACGTTGAAATAATTGGCATCTTCTAATTTTGACATTGTTCACCTTGTCGCAAGGACAGAAAACACACCTCTTTCCATCGAAATGTTGCGATTCCGCCGCATAATTGCCAGGCCGCCGCATAATCGCGATGCAAAAATTAGAATATTCCCCGACCTGCGGCCGCGAGCGGCGGCCATGAGAAACACGCGGCGTGGCGTCAATGGGGGGTCTTGTAGAAAGATAGCAAGTTCTGCGAATACCTGTTCGATAAAAGGTAACTTTTCTATAAATCTTGTCGTTCTAACATAAATATAAATGCGTCAAAAACCTGGTATCATCGAGAGAACTTTTATTATACGGAGTT